TCCCTAACATTCTGTGATTCTGTGAAGAATAAAAATGGCAATAGTGCAAACACTTGGAATCATAAAAATGTGCCCATTATCAAGAATACATTGCAGGTAACAAATGTCAAAAAAAAAAAATAAAAAAACTTTTGAGGTCCCTTCCAATCCCTAACATGATATATAATTGACATGATATATCAGTCCTAAAGCTGCACAAAACCAAGCACTATTTACCTTTACTCTTCCCAATTCAAACTGGAAAACACTGGGGCTTGTAGCTTGAGCAAATACAGCAGGAAATAACTTTGTACTTGGTTCAACCTAAATCAAAGATGCACAAATATATAACCACTGAAGACAGCAAAACACTATTACAAATTTTAAAAAACCCAAAACAACAAATTAATATCTGTATTGACAGTCAGTAAGTGCAAGCCTTTGAATATAACCCCAGAAAATCCAAATAGGAGGGAAAAAATCACTGTCATAACAGCGACTACTACTTTTTCTTTCAATCCTGTACAAAAGTTTCTAATAAGATGCAGCCTGAGGATATGGTTTTCCCCCTTTCCACTGGAAGACAGCATCAAAAAATACTCACCTGATAGTACGTGCCTAGTTCCTTGCCGTTAGCTGTGAAGGTCAGCAGGCCACTGGCAGCATCAACCAAGCAGCCAATCTCCAGACCATTATTATTACGTCCTTGTCCAGGGCTCATGCTCTCTCCTGCGCACACCATATAGCAGTTGCTGCGTTTTATACTGAATGTCAAAAGACAGATTTATTTATGGATGGTGTGTAAACTTTATGTAGTGGAGTAAGAACAACTTTGTATGGCTGCAACCAACAGGGCCTCGTGGCTGAAAACAGCATAACCAATACCAAAATTCAATGAAATCTAGATTTCATAACTGAAAAAATGAAAACTGAAGATGGCAAAATATGAACAAGCTCAAACATTTTGTAAAATTCCAAGAGACAAAACTGACTTTGCAAGTTAATGTTTCAAATCACTTCATGTTAAGCATAACACAAAGTTTCTGGCATGGATCACAAGCTGAAGTGCTGAGAGGAGCTGCTGTACTAATTTCGGCCTGCTGAAAACCAAAAAGTTACAAAAGTACTACAAGGTATTTTGCTTTACTTTGTACCAGTTCAGAAGTCAATATTTACAGGATCATGGTCTGAAGCTACATAGAAAAGTTGTGCTGTTTCACTTTTCTGTGACTATTAATTTTATTAGATGATTACTGTACTGTTTCTTCAGAAGCAAGAGGAGAAAACAAGTTCCATTTTTTCTTATTTTTTTTTTTTTTAATCAATCCAATTACATTAAATGGAATGGATTTACAGTTTACAAATTGTTAGTTGTTTTTATGGGTATAAAATATGTATTTTTTTCAGAAAATTGTAACCAACCTCTCATGAACCTTCCCTTTTTCATCTCCCAGTGTAACTGTGACAGTACGCACTCTGTCCAAGTCAAAGCTTGTGTCATACTGGTGAAAGTCAGATGTAATCCAGCCCACCCAGACATTAGCAGGTTCTTGACCAGGAAATATTCTCACTGAATAATAGTACTGTCAATAAAAAATAATGTCAGAAAATGTTAGTATTTCTTTTTTGATTCATAATTAATATGTTGCTCTAAAATCTGAAAATATATCATCTTTTCAAAAGTTGCATAGGTTGTTCAAGCGCAGTTCATAAGCAAAGCAACAAAATAATATAAACAGAAATCAGTATACAGCCAACAAAATATGTATGTTAAAAAATGGAAAAGATTAAAGATGCAGCTTATAATGCTTGTATTGTAGGCTTCTGCATCCTAGCATTGTAGGCTATTTTTGTAATGCAGCCACAATGTTTATACTGTAGGTGACTCAGTTTCTAGTATCTTTCAGAAAGAGGAGAATATACTTGGAAGAGAAATACTTGTTTCCTTTGAGCATTGAAGAGTGAGCACTTATGGAGATGATCTTGTCAGAGGAAGATGCACAAAACCTGTACAAAACTTTCGCTGGAAAATCCATTAAATAAATACTGAGTTAAATCAGTATACATGTTTTCAACTGGTCTTGAATATTGACTTAATAGTTTAATGGTGTGTATGGCTATGGTAGATCCTCCTGCACCCTTCCAGGGAAACCTACATGCTCGAATAAACTACAGTTGCTGGGGGAGGGGAACCTCAATCCACCCCACTCCTGCCAGTTTGGTGCCACTGCCAGCAACAGATGCCCAGAGCCTGGAGAAGGATCACAGGTCAGCAGGAGAACACCAGAGGAGTGGCACAATGGAATTCCAGCTGCCCCAGTCAGCTTCATCAGGGGCCCAACTTTAAATGCCTCTACACAAATGCATGCAGCATGGAAAATTAAAAAGATGAGGTAGAGATACACGCATGCCTGGAAGGTTATTATCTGACTGGCATCACAGAGACATGGTGGGATGGCTCCCAGGACTGCACTATTGGAATGGAAGGATATGGGCTCTTTAGGAAGGACAGGCAGGGGAGACGAGGAGAGAGTTGTCACCCTCTGTCAGTGACCAACTAGAGTGCATGGAGCTCTGCCTGGGGATAGAAGCAGAGCTGACCAGGAGCTTATGGGTCAGGATCAGAGGGAGGACAGGGACAGGTGACATTACAGTGGGGGTCTGCTACAGGCCACCAGATCAGGAAGACCAAGCAGATGAGGCCTGCTATAGACAGACAGGAGCTGCCTCATGTTCACAAGCCCTGGTCCTCATGGGGGACTTCAACCACCATAGTATCTGTTGGAAGTATAACACAGCAGGGCTTAAGCAATCCAGAAGGTTCCTGGAATGCCCTGATGACAACTCCCTTCTCCAAGTGACCAAGGAGCCAATAAGCAGAGGTGATATGCTGGACCTTCTTCTCACCAACAAGGAAATGCTGGTGGGGAATGGGAGCTCAAGGACAGTTTTGGATGCAGTGACCATGAAATGGTGGAGTTCATGATCCTTAGGGCAGCGAGGAGGGCATGTAGCAGGCTCAATACCCTGGACTTCAGGAGAACAGATTTTGACCTCTTCAGGGACCTCCTTGGTAGAGTTCCATAGGATAAAGTTCGAGAGGGAAGAGGGACCCAAGGGGGCAGGGGGGTTGGGACTAGATCTTTAAGGTCCCTTCCAACCCATATCATTCTATGATTCTATGATTTTAATGCACTTTTTCCTATTTATTTCATTATTCTAGAACTATTTATTCTTCCTCTGTTATGTTTGGTGTTATCAAGAGTAGTTTCAAAAGTGTATTCAATTATTTTAAGGCTTTCTATATGGAAATTATTTTAGATTAACAATCACACCAAAACAAAAGGAACATAGTAGTCTCAACTTGAGTAGTACAGCTCTACCACAGACATTTAAATTATAAATTTTGCTTGAAAATTACACAGTTTATAAAACTCTTACAAGCAAAAACATGTAGTTAGTTAAAAAAAAAAAAAGTAAAACAGCTGAAATACCAATCCTATGTTACAATACCGTGGAAGTTTGCATCAAATAATCATAGTCATCCCTATCATCTGCTAGCACATCCTCAGTAAGCCGTGCAGAGTGACTTGTGCTATAATCTGGCTTTGTCCTCCTGAGCATAAATCTGTAATAAAGTAAGTAAAAGAAAAATCTATATGAAAAGCTCAATATGCCAATATATACATACATAAAGGAATTTTATATTGATATGTTATCCCTATATACATTATACTTATTATGCTAGCCCCAAATACATAGTATTTTTTACATTATTAATACATAACACTAGTTAGTTTATTACTTCTATGTAGTTTAAAACAAAATAAATTATTCAGAAAAGAGAAAGAGAGAGACTCATTTTTAAAGCACTTAAATGAGTTCTGAGCTTAAAATACATATACTCAAAAGTTACTTGGAATCTAAACTGACATAACTTAAAAAATTATCAAGGCTGTTAAACACCTGTGTAACTGTGGCAGGATGTGGAATCTTAAATGACTTTCATGCATTTACAAACGCCATCCATATGTCCTGAATTATTCTGCAATAGAAATATTTAACAAACCAAGTTTGGTAATGAAGAACAGAAAAGGAATGGAAAGCTGTAGTAATATTGTCTGAGTAACAACCCAGTGTTGGCATCTCCACAGCATCATGAAGTTAGGTGTTCTGCTCATGATTCCATAAGAAAAAATAGGGAAAATGAACACATCAACTAGAGAATATTCTTATGATTATTTGGTTCATTGAGTGAGATAAGAAGCTAATATCCATTTCTAGATAAAGATTAAGTAACACTTTCAGCTTTTTGGAAGCCATGTGAAAAAAAACATTCCATGTCACTTTGAAGACCTCCTAGTTCTGTCAGAATGGATCTCCATGGTTTTAGAATGTATTCCATGTGATGATCACAAGAGCCTTCACAATAAACCAAATGTTTCTAATAGCTTGAAAAATGTTTTTAGTTTTCTGCTTAATTTTAATCTATATATTGCACATGAAGTAATTTTATCACATGAAGGTTAATTGTCCTGTCTACTGTATTATAGTACGGCCTACCATATTATATCCAAATTTAGGGCAGAATTAGGGAAAAATCTCTGCAGTCCTGACTGGCATTTTCTTCTACTATTCAAGAAGCAGCGAAAAAAAGAAAACAAAAAAAATAGGAAAATGGGAAAAAGAAAAAAAAAAAACCAACAAACAAGCCAAATGTTCTACTAACCTTTGTTTAAGACGCGAAGGCTTTTCTTGAACATAATCTTTATGGTTGTTTAACTCTGGTTTTGTGGCATCTTTTTCTCTTTCTGTTCGGTCAGGAACTAGATGACCATGAGCAGTTTTCATTAGAACCTCAAAATCAGAATCAGCATCATAATCCTCCAAGTCATTCTTCGGAACAAAAAGACCAGAGCCTGGTAACCCTCCTGCAGCTGATCTGGAGAACACCTCAGCACATTCAATGGGCATGCTTAATCGAAAAAACATGACTTCTGTTTTACTGTTCTGTGAACCAAAGGACTTCTGTGTGACCTTCAGGCAGGGACAGCTGTCTATGGTGCCGTCAATTCTCATCACCTATCAAATGTAAAGATGCAGTTGTTTTGAAGCTGATGCTTTTTGCCCCTTGTAAAATTACATTTCTAGAATAAGCATCATTTACATCAATAAGCACCATTTACATTTCTAGAATAAGCATCCATGACTTGCAAAACTTGAAACAGTATGCTGTCAATGGTCAAATGTATTATAATCATGTGCTGCCATTTCAAGGGGAAATAAAAACTATAAAGAGTGGAGGGTTTTGTTATTTCATTGTTAAATGAATAAAGAACTCAAATAAGTGACTTTTCTCATCATAACTCTTTGCAACATAAATCCAGCCCTGTCCAGAACAACACAAACCAACTAATATAAATCATACATGCACCTATGCAAGAACACAAATTATTTTAAAATACTATAGTGTGATACACATCAGTTGAAAAAGAATTCTTGCATAAATTTCAGAAGAATCTAATGGTAGACTTAAAAGGCACGATTCAGTTCCATCAAGATGCACCACTTGGGACATAAGTGTTGACACAATTGGCTAATAAATATTTACTAAAATCAAAACCAATTAGTTATGGAAGAATTACTTGAAAAAGTATGTTCACCAGAACACATGGTATCTGTTACGTAGAAATGCTCCATTTCTGGAAGTTGTTTCCAAACATAGCTCTCACTGCACAACAAGCTTTTAATGAGGAGATCTTGTAGAATTTGTCTCTGATGATCTCATGTTTACACACACGATAAATTTCACAGATAAAGAAATATTGTTAACTAAATAATCACATTCTTTGCAACTCCACTGAATGTAAGAAATTTGTTACATATTAATGGAGAAGTGTCTCAAAGCATTTTAATAGGATCACAAACCTCAATATGTTCATGATTTTGTGGCACTGGTAAAAACTGAGGGAGCCTTTTACTCAGCCAAATAGTGATGTCTCTGTTTGTGTTAACAGCAAAGGGTTCATACCCCTCCTGTAAGCCACAGATAGTGAAATATTTTAGAGTGCTGACATCTTTTCCAAAGTTCATTCTTCCCACTTGAGATGGGCCCAGGCTGCACACAGGTAGAAATCCTTAAAAGAAGATAAAAGAACACATGGTTTGTACATCATGAACATCGGAGAAGTGCTCTCTTCCAAAACTCATCAAAAATAATTTTGAAAAAAAAAAATTAAAAATCAAAGAAACAAACAGTATAAATGCAAGCAGTCATCAACAGCACATTACCTCTTGCATGTCACCAAGTACTGTATCTCAAATACCATCCTGAAAAAAAAACCAGCTCTCTAATAGCCATGGATCATTTCATGCAACACTCAATTTACTCCACAGAAATCTGGGTACTTCAAGGAGCATGACAACTGGCTCTTGGTTAATCTCTCAGCTAAGCTGATAAGAGTGTTGCCAATTTTACTCCAAGTCTTACTAGTTTTGATATTCCTCCTAAAATTCCATTAGTTAGTATTTTGAGAGAACCTCAAAAATTACTTTAAAAGTAATATAGTGATTTTCCATTCAGCTATAGTAGTGAAAAAAAATTACAAATATGCACCAAGTGCATTTTCTAGATTAAAATAAATTCAAAATTAAATTATTTAATTAAATTTTAATTAATTAAAAAAATCATAACATTTTGTGGCTCTGGATAATGAGAACTGAGAATATGATACTGTAGCTTCATTAAACTTAATGGTAGTTTGGTTTTCAGTTTTGGGCCAGGTTTTTTGTTTTTACTATCGAATCAGTTTCACTTTTGTATGCATCTGCTCTCTTACTAGCACAGGGAACTCACTTATGACCCCTCTGCACTTTTTACACAAACGTTTGTGTTCTGT